TTCTTTGAAAAGATAAACAAAATTGACAAACTCTTAGCTAGACTCACCAAGAAAAAAAGAGAGAAGGCTCAAATAAATAAAATCAGAAATGAAAGAGGAGGAATTACAACAGACACTTCAGAAATACAAAAGATTATAAGAGAATATGATGAAAAGCTATACGACAACAAATTGGATAATCTAGAAGAAATGGATAAATTCTTAAATTATATAACATTCAAAAACTGAATCAAGAAGAAATAGAGAATTTGAATAAACCAGTCACCAGTAAGGAGATTGACATAGAAATCAAAAACCTCCCAAAAAACAAAAGTCCAGGACCAGATGGCTTCCCTGGTGAATTTTACCAAACATTCAAAGAAGACTTAATACTATTCTTCTCAAACTCTTCCAAAAATTGAAGAGGAGGGGAAGCTTCCTAACTCATTCTACAATGCCAACATTACCCTGATACCAAAACTACACAAGGACAACACACAAAAAATAAAGTTACAGGCCAATATCACTGATGAACATTGATGCAAAAATCCTCAACAAAATACTAGCAAATCAAAAATGAAAATACATTAAAAAGATCACACACCATGATCAAGTGGGATTTATTCCAGCGATGCAGGGATGGTTCAACATTCGCAAATCAATCAACGTGATACACCACATAAACAAAATAAAAATCACATGATCATCTCAATAGATGCAGAGAAAGCACTTGACAAGACACGGCATCCATTTATGATAAAAGCTGAATAAAATGGGTATAGAAGGAAAGTACCTCTACATAGTAAAGGAAATATATGACAAACTCACAGGTAATATCATTCTCAATGGAGAAATACTGAAAGCTATCCTTCTAAGAAGAGGAATCAGACAAGGATGTCCACTTGCACCACTCTTACTTAACATAGTATTGGAACTCCTAGCCAGAGCAATCACGCAAGAAGAAGAAAGAAAAGGGATTTAAATTGAAAAGGAAGAAGTGAAACTGCCACTACTTGCAGATGACATGATTTTATATATAGAAAACTCTACAGGATCCACCAAAAAGCTTCTAGAAATAATAAATGAATATGGTCAAGTTGCAAGATACAAAATCAACATAAAAAATCAGCTATGGTTCTATACACTAATAATGAAGTAGCAGAAAGAGAAATTAAGAATACAATCCCATTTACAATTGCAACAAAAGAATAAAATACCCAGGAATAAACTTAACCAAAGAAGTGAAAGATCTGTACACCGAAAACTATAAAACATAGTTGAAAGAAATTGAAGAAGACACAAAGAAATGGAAAGATATTCTGTGCTCTTGGATTGGAAGAATTAACATAGTTAAAATGTCCATACTTCCTAAAGCAATCTACAGATTCAATGCAATCCTTAGCAAAGTTCCAACAACACTTTACACAGAAATAGAACAAAGAATCATAAAATTTATATGGAACAACAAAAGACTCCGAACAGCAAAAGGAATCCTGAGAAAAAGAACAAAGCTGGTGGTATCACATTCCCTGATTTCAAAATACACTACATAGCTACAGTAACCAAAACAGCATGGTACTGGTACAAAAACAGATACACAGATCAATGGAACAGAGTGGAGAGCCCAGAAATAAACCCACACAGCTATGGATAGCTAATTTTCAACAAGGGAGCTAAGAACATACAATGGAGAAAGGAGAGTCTCTTCAATAAATGGTGTTGGGAAAACTGGACAGCCACATGCCAAGAATGAAAGTGGACCATTATCTTACACCACAAAAAATAACTCAAAATGGATTAAAGACTTGAATGTAAGACCTTAAACCATGATAATTCCAGAAGAAAAGACAGCCAATATGTTCTTTGACATTAGTCTTAGCAGCATATTTTCAAATACCATGTCTGACTGGGCAAGGGAAACAACAGAAAAAATAAACAAATGGGACTACATCAAACTGAAAAGCTTCTGCACAGCAAGGGAAACCATGAACAAAATGAAGAAACAACCTAACAATTGGGAGAAGATATTTGCAAACCATATATCCAACAAGGAGTTAATATCCATAATATATATAGAAGTCATACATTTCAACAACAAAAAATCTAACAATCCAATTAAAAAATGGGTGAAAGATCTGAACAGACATTTCTCCAAAGAAGATAGACAGATGGCCAACAGCACATGAAAGGAGTTCAACATCACTAAATATTAGGGAAAGGCAAATCAAAACTACAATGAGATATCACCTCACATCCATCGGAACAGCTATACTTCACAAGACAGGAAACAAGAAATGTTGGAAAGGATGTAGAGAGAAGGGAACCCTCATACACTACTGATAGGAATGTAAACTGGTGCAGCCACTATGGAAAGTAGTATGGAGTTTCCTCAGAAAATTAAGAATAGAACTACCATATGATCCAGCTATTCCACTGCTTGATATTTATCCAAAGAACATGAAAACATGAATGTGCAAAGATACATGCACCGCTATGTTCATCGCAGCATTATTCACAATACCCAAGACTTGGAAACAACGTAAGTGCCCATCAAGGGATGACTGGATAAAGAAATGTGGTATGTATACACAGTGGAATACTACTCAGCTGTAAGAAACAATGAAATCTGACCATTTGTGACAACATGGACACAAACTTGAGGGCGTCGTGCTAAGCAAAATAAGTCAAAGGGAGAAAGTCAAATACCATATGATCTCACTCATAAGTAGGAGATAAAAACAACAACAAACAATCACATAGAGACCGACATTGGATTGGTGGTTACCAGAGGGGAAGAGGAGAGGAAGGACGACAAAAGGGGTGATTAGGCACACGTGTGTGGTGACGGACTGTAATTAGTCTTTAGGTGGTGAACAGGATGTAATCTGCACAGGAATTGAAACATAATGATGTACACCTGAAATCTGTATGTTATAAATGAATGTTACCACAATAAAAAAAAGCCAAAAAAAAGTCTCAAGACAGCCATTTAGTAACAAATAAAAGCAGCTGACTTCCCCTTAAAAAAAAAGAAACAGAAAATATTTTGGGGAATTATAATTGTGGAGCTTAATGGCACTTAGAGATATCATCTATTGCATCCAACTAATGCTGGATGCAAGAATTGTTGCCTGAAGTATAAAGATCTCTGTTGAAAAAAAACCTACCATTTCTCTTTGACTCAGTAAGAGTTTAAGAAACATTCGCTGCCAAAGATATTTTTTAAATACCTCTTAGCTTGATTAAATAATATGTCCTTCACAAAGTTGTCTCAGCGACAATTAAATGAACTAAGAGCAATTTTCACTGTAATCATAAATAAAACTAACAATTTAAGTACATGGTTCTAGGGGAATAAGAAATTGTAATATCAACTCATTTCTACTATTAAATCCATTTAATTCAACCTCAAGACAAAGCTATGTGTTTCTAAAACTCTCTGAGAGCAACCTCAGTCTCCCTTGAGACGGCTTTCCCACCTTTTACAGTGATTATCTTAAAAACGACAAAAGTATGAGACCCTTTGGTGACACACGGGTGATTCCTGGTCATTTGTCCAAGGGGAGCTGCCAGCGCTTCCCTAAGTTGCCCTCTCCTTTGCCCCATATTTGACATCACTTGCTGAACCTGTCTACCTTCAGTCACTCTGAGTGGAGTAGCTACATTTTTTCATACATAGTTCTTTTATTAATCATTGTATCCAGATAAATAGGAAAAAAAGTGATTTAAAGAAAAGCAGGAGTCTTAGAGTAGGTGGATAGAAGAGACCAACTGCCAGGCCCCATTGTACAAATATTAACTCATCTAATCCTCATTACTTCCCTGTAAGATGTTACTGTTATCGTCCCCATTTCTGCAGTGGAGGATACAGTTTCAGAAGGCCTAATTAATTCACCCAAGGCTTCAAAACCAGAAAGCAGTAGAATTGGAATTTAACAAAACCCTGGGAATCTGGCTCCAAAGTCCATAATCTTAACCCTTAACTCTTTTGCTTTACTATTGCTGAGAAAATTAGAGCAAAAAGCGCATGCTCACTATCCACAGCAAGGTGGCTAAGAGGCAGGATTGCAGTAACCAAGCATAGAAAGCAAGACCTTCCTAGCTCTTGTTTCTTCACCTTACTGAAGTTTTCAGGATTCTGTAGACTCTATGGTAGAACCACATTTTTCAAAGTTGGTTGAAGGTCCCTTGTACCTAGTTTAAGATGAGAGGGGCTAACCATAATCCTTGCTTAAAAGTAATTATGTCCCAGTTCTATATGCTAACAGAAAACTTATTGAAAGGAGACAAAGCAACTCATAGGTAAAGCCATCTTTACTGAGTCTTTCCTCATGTGAAATCTCAATCAAGACCTAGTAACTGGAATGTTCTTTGAGGACTGCCAAATACCTTTAGGAATTAACACTTGAAGTGATGTCAAATGCCACTAAGTAACAGACCAGTGGTTCAAAACTGTGTTTTGGGAGACTGCAGGGTCCCAAATCCTCCTTAAAACACCCTCTAGCTCAGCTTTGCTTCAACTTTTATATATTTTATACGTTGAAATTCTACACAGGTTTTTTTTTTTAAAGAAATGGTTCTATTGCTTAAAAACTTTAATTTTTATTTTACGATCATCCTTACATAGTATTGGGGATTTTTTTTTATTCATTCACTCACTCATCCATTATAGTAAGTATTGGGAAAACAAGGTGAAATATTACACAGCCCCTGCCCTCAAGGAGCTTGGAATTTGAGGCGATCCTACTCAGTTTGAGGGATGAACTGAACTTAAAATGAATTATTGCCTTATATACTCTTTTTAAGACAATACAATCATAGTCACTAAATCAAGACTCTTTCAGTGCTACAAATTTTAACTTTTTGCTCATCGTTGACAAAGCAATCACAATGAGAGACACTAGATCCTGTTAGTCAGAACTGAGAGAGGAAGATTTATACTCACTCAAAACCAGCGCCAATAAAAGAAGCAGAACACTGTTATTTTTCTTTAAACATGCAGCATTTGTTTCATTTCTTACCTCTAGTGCTTTCAATCTTTCTAACAGCAATTTGGTCTTTCCTTTCCCCTCATCCGCACTGCTGCTTTCGCTCCGCGAATCCTCATCCACCACCATGTGAAGTTCTTCCAAAGCTTCCTTGTGTTTTCTCTCTTCCTCCGGCAGCTTTTCCTGAAGCAAGAAAGAATTATTGTTTTCAATAATCTCCACTGAAAAATAAGCAAGTTTGCAAAGTTTGGAATATCCCAATTGCATGTGCATACTTTCCAGGGCTGAGGGAGAAAAGATTTTGCTAAACCAATTCTGAGTGGTGCTTACATTAGTAAACACAGTAGATATTTTTAATACCTGGCAAGACAAAGCCACTGGGTCACCACCTCTGAATGTACACATCCTCTGCTCTGTTGGAGAAGTGACCCAGCCAACAAAGCCTTAGGTGGAGTCATGCAGTTAATCCCTTTTTATCTGCACCGTGGAATTCAGCTGTGTTCTCAACTGGGGAAAAAATAAGTCAACCTTTGTAGTACTTGATTTGAGAACAACTTAGCTCCTTAAAATAGGATCATTAAAGTCACTGGACATGCAACCATGTAATTAATTTAAGGGATAAGAAAATATCACAAAATACTGAGATGATAGTGATTTCAGAATTCTAAGCTGAAACCAGTTAGTTCCTTTGGCTCAATAGTAACACAGCTCTTAAGACTACCCCTTGTCCCTTTTCTAACACTTCAGGATTTGTAGTATAGCCTTAAGGCAGACATAAAATGTTGTATTATCCTGTCTTGCCTCCCTGTTAGAAGCCCCTTACTCAACCTTCTGTCTGGCAGCTTTTTGGAAGTTGAGAAGTGTTAATTTGAGCCTCATGATTGGCTTTTGTTTTCAAGGGAGAAAGAAGTGTCAAGAGAACATCATATGAAAATAACCTTATCCATTTTGTACACATATCAAGACCCTCATGCTATAGAACCAGATGACATCATTCCATCACACTATTTAGTTTTAACCACAACATTGCAGAAATAATTGTCTTAATATAGCTGGTTGTCAACCATGTGGGCTAAATTGGATTATCAATGGTGAGAGACTTCTTTACCTTTGGCACTAAACTAAGGTCATTTGTAAATACAGAAGCACAAAAGATACAATTCTTAACCTCTAGACACTTACACAATCTACTTAGAAAAGAATAGTACAAGAAAAAAAACCAAGTTTTTAAACTGTGTTCATGAAGATGTCTTTGGAGGCTCCAAAAATGTTTAGCTTATTTTTTTAAAATAAGTTATAAAGTATGTAAAGAAATACGCCTTAATATATATAGACATATAAGTATACATGAATTTGTATATAGTCATACATCACAATGATGGGGATACAGTCTAGGAAATCCACCTTTAGGCAATTTCATTATTGTGCAAACATTATAGAGTGTACTTACACAAACTAGATGGTATAGCCTGCTATACACATAGGCTATAGGGTACTAATCCTATGAGACCACTGTTTTATATACAGTCCATTGTTGACCAAAATGTCATTATGTGGCACATGACTATAGATACGTAAAATACCAGAGACCACATAGTAACTTGATCCATGTTAATTTGTTCTGTACAGATTTCAAGATATAACTTCTCCTGTCATCTCTGTATATAAAGGTACAATTGATTAGGAAAGGGATAGCTCTTTATGCAATCAGGCCTGAGCGTGTCTAATCTCATATAACGTGCAAGTATATTCACTTCCATAGTAGGTATGAGTTCCACTCAGACAAATGCTGGGCAAGTTTAAGGTGCAGATCGTCAAGCCAGAACAAAAATCTAGGTCATGACAATATTTTGACAGTTTTGACTCTTTCAAGTTTGGCTGCTTGTTAGATTTTCCTTTCCCTGATAAGGAATATGTAGTCTGTACTGCTGCCAACTCTGAAATGAAGAGGTCCTTCTACCTGTCTTCTAAGATTGGGGATCACTGTAATTAAACTCTCAACTGGGACTGTAAAGCAAGCCGTTTTCAAAAATATCATCATCTATGTCTATTTCCCCATGTGAATTATGGTTTTTCATGGCTCTCTCAGCAAATTACACTTGTATTTTCTTTAATATATATATATAAAGTATATATATATATATGAAGCACCCTGTAATAATGAAGGTTCTACAGCTAATTAAAACAGACAAAGAGAAGCTGGTGTGGTGGATGAAAAGCCAAAAGACTTTTGAATATGACAACCGGATTCCAGATCTACCATTTACCAGCTTAACAAATAATCTTGGGCAAACTATTTAATTTTAATAACTCTTGGTTTATTTTTCTCCTAAATGTCTAAATGAAGCTAGTGCCAACATATATAACATACATACATATACAGCCAATTCTCAATTTTCCTGGTAGTTATATTCCATAGAGTTGTCACGAACTCTGCATTAGTGAACACAGTATCCTTGTTCCTGGGGGAAATACAGGGTTATGTTCCTGTGAGCCTCTGGTCACAATATCTTCATCACTAATCAATTCATAACCTTGTTTTACAATTGTTTCTGTTTAAAGATACCTTATTTAGTATATATTGTTGACTCATTACCATTGAACTAACAGGCAACAGCACTATAACTCATGACTGAGCAAAGCTTATCTAACACCAATTTTCTCCATAAGGCCCCCACAGCCTTCTTGCATGCAGGAACACTATGCAGCACTTCAGCACTGGGCTTGGAGGCTATTCTAAACAGCAAACTCACTAACAATAAAAGTAAAATATGAAAAATGTGGCTCTAAATAGAGCACAAAAAGGACACCTGTGTACAGTATGAGACCTGAACCAAGAAGGCAGAGTGTTGCCTTGTTTGACCTCAGCTGGGAACGTGCATGGCAGATGACTCAAAGTTTTCACCGCTCTGTACATGTCCATGAATGACCATGAGAGCACCATAAGTGTTGATTTGGGGATTGCAAATAAATTTTAGAGAGTAGGCGAATTCACAAATACAGAATCCCCAAATGATGAGGATCGATGGCGCACTCACACACAGACACAGACACACACACACACACACACACACACACAATTTAAAGTGTCCAGGCATAGTGTCTAAATATTATTAGATGAAACAACTGGAAACATTTCAAGATAATATAGATTATGAGTATTTAGATTACATAAAATGCAAGAGTCATTTTACATAGTTCGAAGAAGGGGTGATCAACAAGGGCTGTGAGATATGATTTCATGGAAATGGAATGTGACTTATGCCCTGATGCAGCGATACAACTTAAACAGTTACAGAGGCATAGGGTGGGATTTTGGGTCAAAGAGAAAACTGAGACAAAGGCTCCCAGTCAGGAATATGTTTTGCCCTTGTTGATTTATGAGGAAACCAGTTTGATTAGAGTGCAGAAAAATTTTTTGAGAGATTAGTTGAGTAAGAGGATTGGAGAGTGCAAGAGAGAAATGATTCTTAGAACTGAGAAAGAAAAATTTAGGCACAATTCCTATGTCCATTTGTTCATCCTACAAATGTGTATTGAGCACCAGCTATTGACCAATTGCTGTTCTAGGTGCTAGAGATACAGCAAACTAGATGAAGTTCCTATATTCCATGACCTTATATTCTAATGGTGGGAAACCCAAACTCCAAATCAAATCAGTAAGTTATATAATCGTAGCCAGTGGTGAATGCTATGAAGAAAATAAAACAGCTTAATGTGATGGACAGTGGTATGTTTAGGGACAATGTTAGACATTATGACATTGGTGTAAGGCTGTCTGAGGAGGTGGCCATTTAAGCTGAGATCAAATGATGAGAAGGAAGCAGTCACGTAATGGCCTGGGAGAAAAGCATTCCAACCTTGCTGCACAGTTGAGGGAGAATCCGTGTAATGGAGAATAGCGACTGTAAAAGAAAGAATAATAGGAAATGAGAAAGAGAGCTGGACCAAGGAGGGTCTTGCAAGGCACAGGAATGGGTTTGGATTTTATTCTAAGTGCAGGAAAGAGGCATTGGATGCTAAGCAGGGAAGTGATGGCTTCTGATTTACGCTTGAGAAACATCATCCTGACCACTGCAATGGAGAATGGGCTGTGGAGGGAAGGAGCTGGGAGACCAGCTGGGAGGGCTTTATTTAGGAAGGAATAAAAATTAGGAATACTTTGAAGGCTTTGGATAAGGACTTACCAAACACAGTTCTCATACTGGATGGTAGGTCAGAAGGCCTGGCTTCAAAGCCCTGCTTTTACCCTTTTACACCTTGTTAGGCAAATCATTCAACCTTTCTCGTCCTCAGTTTCCCCCAGATGTAAAATGAGATGGAGGGACGAAAGGTCCCTTCCAATGTTAAAATTCTAAGAATTTTTTCAGGAAGGAAATGTTGTCAGTATGCTTAGTGTTAACAGAGATGACAAGAGAACAGAAAAAGGTCCTCTACATTTTGTAATAAGAAGGTTGTTAGTGAGGACTGGAGAGCTGTTTGACTGAAGTGTGATGATGGTACCCAAATTGTCAGTGGTTAAGCAAAAAATGAAAAGAGAAAATAGGGGCAATTTTCTTAGAAGCTTTCTCAAAAGTTTGGCAGGGCAGGGAAGGAAATATAAAGAACTGTAGCCAAAGGGCGTTGCAGAGACAAGTGGAAATCTTTTTCAAGATATAGAAAACTACGTTGTTTGCAGGACTGAAGAGAAGAGGCAGCACTGGAGAAGGCAGCAAAGGTGGGACGCGTGAAGAGATCTCCAAAGCAGAGCAGGCCGAGGGTGAAAGGCACTGAGGGAAGAGGCAAGGTTTTGTTTTTTAAAATGTGGTTCCCTGCAAAATATCACTTTATAACTTAATTTTTCAGTTAATATTTCTTAATCATTAGTTAGCATCTAGCTTGAGCTCTCAAAGAACAAGGATTTGAGCGCATGCAGTTCATTTGAGAAATGCAGGAAACACCGGTAGAGATGCGACTCAAGGAAGAGAAGAGAGCCGTTGATAGGCATATTACTAAGCAACTGAAGCTAAAGTAATGGGAGACCCACAGAAAACTCGGGGCAATACACAGGCCTTAGAATCATCCCACCCCGGGGGTAAGGGAGTTGGGGTGCTTATGCACCAGCACACGAGAGTCAATGGTTGAAAACAGCTCCCAGGGTGGCAATTTCATGGCACTTCCAGCCTGCCACAGGCTGTGAGGCT